GACACTAGAAGGGATATGATGGCTGAGCTCATAAACGTGTGAAAGATAAAGTGTATTTCTACATCCATCTGATGTCTGATTACCTTTTTCTCTTCACAATATAGTGCCTCTTTTCCTTGATTAAAAACACTTGCAAGAGTAATGAATACTGGTTTACGGAGAAGGGTGTGTGCATGTGAGTAGAGGGAACTTGATAAATATGAGAACTAATGCTCAAATTTAGATCCCACGCATACATTTCTATTCAGATGACTTACTATGAAGTACTGATTTCTTCCACTTTTTCCTTTCTCTGCAGTGGCATGTGCTGGGTGCTTTGCCTCTTAAGCTTCTCTAAATGTTAAAAATGGAAGTGTTGGTATACCTCAAAGTTTTTTCTTAGACAGGTTTGAGGATACAGCACAAGATACAGGAAGAACGCAATGAGAAAATTCCTCGTTAATTATAGTCAGAGCTGCACTATTGCTTTTGTGCAACTGTCTTTATGCATAGTCCTGGGTATTTTTCAAGTACAGTATCTCTTGCCATGTTAAACTTGAGTGTGTTTCTATAGAAAGTTCTAGCTGTTTTTTTAAAGAAATCTCTTTCCTCCATGATAATATCAAAGCTTTGTATTGTGAACTGATTTCTTGAAAGCAGCTGCATTACAGCAAGACAAATAAGTTTTGTTGGACATTGTAAGATACACGAGTCATTGTTCTGCATTGTTAGCTCTCACTTTGAAGTTCTCATTTCTTGTTTACATCATTCTCCCCCTTTCCTCTCTTTTTCTGTCCCCCATATATTCATAGACTTGGAAAATATCTGGCAGGCGAACAATACTGTTTTGTCAAATATCCAAAAACCTCTGATGGATGTTAGGGCTTCACAGTGCCACCTCTGGCCCAAGGGGGATCCCTGGAATGAAAGCAAATGAAGAGCAAGCAGTGTTTCAAATCTGTCTCTGAACTACAGCCTCAAATCCGCATTGTTCCTTTACTTGGAGCCTGACTTTATGATCAGGTCTTTGAATATTTCTAGATTACTTTTTTTAGATAGTGACAAGATGAATATTTGCCTGTTGTCACAAAGAAAATTGGAGACATCACCTTTATTTTTCCAAAGATTTCTGACGCTTGCAGGTTGCTCTATCAGCTTTAGTTTGACAGCTATTAAAATTGTCACAGTAACAAACCTGCATGTGAAATTGTAAGACAGCGATATGAGGAAAATCTGTTGTGAGGTAACTGCTTACTGCTTTTAGTCTATGAGGGTATTTTTGTTGGTTGTTTTGTTCTTTAAATCAGGAAGAAAGTGTGAGGAGGCCCATCAAAGCAGTTCTGTTCTTCATGGCTTTAAATAACAGAGACAGCACAGATGTTTGACATCAGTGATGTTTACATGGCCTTAGGGTTTAATTGCCTCATACTCTTTGTAAGGAGAGTAAACAATGACAGAAATCCAAAGGAATGGTGGTCAGGATAGCAGTGGCTGCATTTCATACATAGTTGCAAACTTCTGCAATATAGCCAAATATCTACACAATAGCTGGGTGGGTTTTTTTGTTTCACAGAATCACAGAATGTCAGGGGTTGGAAGGGACATTTGTTTCAGTGGTAAGATGTCATAAGCTTAATGTTCTCTGCTGCTGGTGATAAAACATTAGAACTGATGAGTGGCAGGACAACTGTTTGCTCCTAATGAAATGGATGACGTATGTTTTTCTAAGCTGCTTTTACCTGTGTTTTTTTTTTTTCCTAAAACTGAGGGATGTGTTGGTTACTGTGGTGAGTTTGTTTCTCAGTGTGTTAAATGCCCAAGTGGGAAGAGCACTTTATGGAAGAGGAGCAGAGGAGCATGTAAAGTTCTCAAGTGCTGTGACACTTGATATTTGGAATTTGGTGGCTACGGATATGCACTTAGTTTTGTTAGTGTGGTTGTCATTTCTAAGATGCCCCTTTGATAAAGTGTTAAAACTCAAAAATCGAAGGGGAGAAGTTGTACCCAATTGTGAAATGAGCTCATTTGCTTCAAACCCAGCCTTAATGAGGCCCTTTTCTAAAATGTTTTCATCCTACTCCGTATTTCTTCTCTTACGCCTTCACAGAGCTGGGGCAAGGCCAGCTTCCAGAGGGTGGGCCAGAAAGTTGGCTCTGTTGTTGCTGTGCTTCTTGGCTTTCTCACAGGTTTTCACAGAATAAATCACGGATGTAGGGTTTTAAAACTAATATCTGTATTTTTACAGCAAATACTTGCATTGACATTTCCAGACGTTGCAGTGAAAAGGGATGAAGGTGTGTTGGAAGTATTGAACCCTTATCAAATTTGTTGTCTGGTGTTATTATGACCAGCTACTCTTTACAAACACAGATTTCATCTTGAAACAAGCTGAAAACTTCAAGTGCACATAAGTTATTGAATTCCAGACATTTTAAAATTGGGCTCCCTAACATTTATTTGATCAGTATGTAATGAAGTGACAAAATTTTCTAAGCTGTGGATGAAACAAACAGGGCTGAAGAATGTTTGGAGTGCTGAGACTAGAGAACTGGAGAATTTCGCTGTGAGTTTATGGAAGTTAAGAACCGTGGGTGCTTTGCAGGTATCCTTTTCAGTTTTGGAATGATTCCTTGTTGGTTTCCAACATCCAATTCCTTTGGGATTTTTCAAGCAAGTTTGTTTATTTATTTATACACACACGCACACACAGTATGTATATATTTAATAGTTTTGTTACTACAGTGCTTTGTGAAGAGCTGCCTTCTATGTGTTCTTTATCTTGGACACACTTATTCGATTTGTGTTGTTTGATTGCAGTTAGCTCCTCTGAGATGAAGCTGTCAATCCTTTTCAGAAAGTAGTCCCAAAATGTGTGAAATTTTATGCAAGATCCGTTCTCCTGAAATTAGTTATTAAGTGGAAGCCAATTTCAAGTACAGTCATTTCTGCTGTCAACCTGTGGAGAAAACAGCAGGACTGAGAACAACCGCTGTCACTTGGAAATGTATGCCTGTATTTCATGCAAGGCAAATTTTACTTAGGCTCACTTTTATGATCTTTCAATATACAGATTAATAAGAAGCACAAACCAGATCTCCACTGATGCAAAATGCCCAAGATTTATTTCTATAAGCCGAGACAGACTCACTTTAATAAGTTTCAAATGTAATGTGTTGGTGTTTAATAGTATGGGGGTGCAACAGCTACAGATCAGTAATTCATGGGCTTTTAATGTAATTCAAGTAGATTGGAGTTTAGTTTCCAATATTTGTGTTTTTACAAGTCCTTCATAATTATTTATGGAATGTTCACAAACTGTCTATTTGGAGGTGGATTACTTGCTCTTTTTCTTAATGAACACTTATCTATCACCTGATAGTAAGATTTTTCTTCTATAATGTCAAATTTTGAGGGATATGTGCATCTTTTTCTTTTCATATATATACATATGTGTATATTTTATGAACAGAACGTGCATTTTTATTTTGATGCTTATTTTTGAATGATAAGAGCTGTCTGAGAGCTGAGCATACTTTGCCTTTCCCTTGGATTAATTGTCAATCCAACTTGGGTTTTTTGGTAATTTGCATAAGACTGGGTGAGTCTTCAGTGCTGAGAGATAAATAAGAACCTTTGTGTGGTGTAACTGGCAGGCTGTGCTTTGGGCATTGGTGAATGTGGAGTCTGGAAATCGACAGTGTTTGCTGTTCTTCTGCTTCCAGATGATAGGGGATCTTCACTGTTTATTGCAGTGCATCTTGTGTTTTGTGATTGAGTGATGCTTTGGAGTTTTGTAGTTTTTTTTTCAATTAAAAAAAAGTATTTCTGCAAGTTGCAGTGAGCAGATACATACAATAAAGCAACCACAGAATAGAAATTAATAATTTGCAGTGTATTTACTGCCCTTGTATGTTAAAGATTTGTGTTGGGATGATCGCTTTGGATAAGTGAAAGGAGTGAAAATAGGGGCTGGATGGCTTACAAGTATTGGTTTGTTTGGAGTTGGTCAGCTGAGGTGAGCAGCTGGGCTGTTGGCTGGGCCATGCAGAAGTGAGAATGAAAGAGCTGTGAGGAGGTGGGGGCTTGCAAGGCACGTGGACCTCAGCTCTGCAGGCTCTTGGATGTTAGCAAGAGGCTGCTTTGGTGCCTTCTGCTGAGGCTGTAGTCCCTCCTGTGTAATGTGGCGGGTTGCTGGGGTGTGCTGTGGTTTGGGAGCTCTTCTGGCAGCTTTGTTGTCTGAATGGGAGGAACAGCAAAAGGAAGAGGTGTGGGACGGCCTGGGGCTGAACCAGAGGTGCCACTTTCACCTTGTTGGAAGTCAGGGAACACAAAATACCTTTCATATTTGCAGTCTCAGGGTAAGCTGTAAAGGCAAATATGCAAGAAATTAAGAATACTTTTAAGACTGTGAGAAGCAACAAAGTGTCATTGTTGGGAGGAGGTGAATACCCAGCTTTGAACAAATGCAAGCAGCGGCAGGAAATGGATTTGAACAATCAAATTCAGCAGCAATCTTGGTCCTGTTACAAGTAACCTTAAAAAGGAAATGTGTTTATAATGAGAGATCTCCAAATAATAGAAAACAAACAAAAATAAATGTGCATCTGGGCCAGGGGATGTTCTTTGTGTAAATGTAACACCTGCCTACATGGTGAAGGCACGCTTCCCATACTTGGTGTATTAACATAAATATGAAAAGCTTCATCCTGAAGTGTTTATTTAGATAAAAGATGATAGCTTTTTTGGGCAATAGCAGTTGTTTTTATTGCCAATGAAAACATCTTACCAATTCATTTTCTAAATAAATATTTTAGGTTGAGGCCTTCTGTAATGGCTTTATCAGATAAACAAGAAAATGCTGGAAAACTGAATATTGATTATTTTTCATAGCAGATATTTGTTAGGGACTTCCCATTGCCTGCTGAAAGACACCAGTGAATTATTTAAAGGTTATGCAAAGGTCACTGAATTTATTCTTTATTTTACTTAAGTTGTTTATTGGTTCTATTGTATTTTTAAAGCTAGACATGAAAATGAAAATGATGGAAGGTAAATTTCATGAAGAAAGACTTCAATTACAGCAGAAGCATGATTCTAATGTTCAAAAGGTAAGGAGTGTTGTTTCTTTCCAGGAATGATATCTAGGACAAAATAATAGACAACTTAATTGTCATAAATTGCTCACAATTGTACTTACAATAATCACAACTCTAAGTTTTCCTTTAAGTTAAGATTGTAGGTAACAGTTTGCAGAAGCTGATATGAATGTGGAATATTCTAAGGTGAAGGGAAGTGGAAAATACTTGCAGATGAAAACACAAGATGGGGTCTGTTTTTACTTAATAATTAAACAAGACAACCCATGTTAGGAGCCTCGCAGCCTCAACAGATTCGTATTCTGGTGAAATGATCAACTTGTAATATTTCTTTTAAATAGAAGGTACTTGTGGGAAATGGTGCAGAAAAATATGTAAAGGAATTTATTTTTTATGGCCGAAACCCCAAAAGAACAGTAGGGTAATATGAATGTTCATCACATGTTCCTACCAATAACAGCAGAAGTGCTTAAAGTGTAGGCTGGTCTGTAAACAGTCTTCATTTATGTTATTGCATCTTTAAAGCTGCATGTTCCTTTTAACTCTTCTCAGCAATAAAATGCTGCCAGATACACATCCCTCAGCTGAGGTTAAATTTGTCTTTACTGTATTGCACGACACCACCTTTGGGGAAGCTTAAAAAAAAAGAAGAGTACTGTCAAAGACAGTAATGTTACCTTTAACACTACCTTGTAAATGCATGGAGTCAGACTGAGTCACTGAGTGCCTTCTGGAGGCTCTGATCCAGCAGCGCAATGGGAGCCAAGTGCACAGGAGCACCATGACTTACCCTACTTTCAGCTCTATGTTCCCGAATATCTCAGTTTTGTTTCTTAAGTCTGAGTCACAGACCGGGAGGAAGTGAGTTGACACAACACTGTGACACATCAAAGCCTCCTGAAAGGATGTGAATATTTGGTCAGGTGCGTTTGTGGCTCATCTGTTCTCCATGTCTGCAAGCAGAACTGGCTAGCAAAGATGAGAGAATAAAGGAAACAGCTTTGTGAGAATAAGAAATAGTTGAAATGCTTTCTCATCCCTTGAGTTGTCATCCTTTTCTAACTAATGTTGGAATTCCATCTTTTGAAGTTGTTTAATAATATTGGATGTTTCAGAAAAGGTTAAATAGTGTCGTATTAATCTTTAAAGACACAAACCATTTAATGCAGATGGAATAATATTGTTTTAAGATGAAAGCTCCTGTTTGAGAGATTTGGGGCACTGCTATAAAACTTCTGTGGCTTTATTGTTTGTCTTAAACGTGAAGTTTCAATTAAAATGGTATCTCAAAGTGTGCAACCATTCAAACTTTTTTCCAAAATCACCATGTACAGAAATGTAAAGTGGTTCTACTTGGTGGGCTTGGTCTGTGACTGCGCTGAGAACAATTGTTTGTGAGAGTCTAATGAAGTTCATCAGGGATTCAAGCATTTTGAATGAGAATTTTGAGTTTTTGCTGGGCATTTTAATGCTTGTAAGTACTATTAGTCAGTACAGATTTTAAAAATAAATCATTTCTATTTGCAGTGGTCGCACTGGGAAACTTCCAAATTCTTCTAGAACACTAGCTGAATTTTTGTCTTGTAATTGCAACACTGGATTTGCCCAAATTTAAAAGAAAACACAAAAAGATGCCTCTAAAACATGAAAGTCCTTTTTAATCTGCTCTAGTGCCTGCTTTTATCTAAACCAGTCCTTTGTTTATGGCTTGGCAGTCTCAGCTATGAGAATTACGTATTTCATTGCTTGCCCTGCAATATCTAAGCGTATCTTAAAGGCAGTTCCTTTGACAGGTATCAGTGTACATTACTCCATGCACTGGCTGTGGCTTCATGCTTTCAGAAGTTTATTACAGTGCTGTGAATCTTCACTGCAGATTTTGGATCGGAAGAATGATGAAATAGAGTTGCTGAAATCCCTCCACAAATCCAAACAAAATGAAGCCGAGGAGACAATTAGAAAACTGGAGAAGAAAGGTGATTTTTTTCTCTGTGGTTGGTTTTTATTTATTTATTTATTTTTGCATGGTGATTTTATACTACATCCTCTTTGTGACCGTGAGCCTTTGTGTCCCTTCTAGGTACAAACATACTTTCCCTCTTTGTTTGCAGGTCTTGCACTTGTTTTTCCTTTAGACTTGAGGCTTGTGTGCTTGCCTTTGCTAGTTGTCTAGCTGCCAAACCAAATTTTCCAAGAGACAGTGTGATCTGATGTTTAATACTCAGCCTTTTATAAGTGCCACTGAAAAAAAAAAAATGTCTTTGATACTGAAGTATTTTGACCACTTCTTCCAAATTTGTGGAATCTCTGGTTCAAGGTTAATTTATTTATACATTCAGTACATTTTAATCAAACCACAATGTGTTGTTTATTTTGGTCTATTGTGGCAAGAGATTTCAGACATCAGTAGTAGTCTTGAATGTGTTGTAAGTATGAAATTTGGCCCATCTGATTGTGGCTTGTCAGCAGTTTCTTAATACTACTTTTTTCTAGAATTCCTTGGAGTGCATTTGTGCTGTGGATGGAACCACAATGTAAAATAATACATATGTTTGATAAACTAGGCGCAGAAAGGGAGAGGGAGCCATGCAGGGAGCATTTACCTGCTCCCTACAGAGTGAATTGTCCTGCTGGCAATCCAGTGCTGCTGGTAGCTGTCCTCAGCTGCAGTGGGTTACATTAGAGTCACCTGCACTCTTATCAAACACTGAAAATCATCAGTCACTTCTGAAAAGCACGTGTTCCTGCTTTGTTTGCCACAAGCATCAGTCTCTGTGTTCTTGGTGCAACCAGTTGCAATTTGAGTAGTTTGGTCTTTCAGCCCACGTGAGAACCTCTTTCTGGGTGCACACAAAATCAGATTAAAAATGCCTGTTTTCTTTAGATTCCGTGGATTCTTTTTGATGTTTCTTCACTGCTGGAGTTAGAAAACCTCACTGAAATATTTTCTAAATATAATAGAGAACACCTTGTACTTGTACTTGTATTTTAGTGACATAGGATTTAAGTGCTAAGTTGTAAATTATGTGTATTAAGTATTTTTAACAGCAGAATACCACGAGCAAAGCCAGGTCAATTGAAAATTGTTGTAATCTGGGTTGTATCTGTTGCCAACAGTGGAAAAATCCCAAGGATCTCCCCTGAATGGTTGTTTATTTTCCTATTTTTGACAGTTCAGACCCTACTCCGTGAGTCACAAGTCATCAGAGAAGCAATGGAAAAGCAGATTGTAGAGTTAAAGAAGATGTGTGAGAAAAGCACTGAGTCTTTGAACAATGAGTGGGAGAAAAGGGTAATGAATAATGCTTCAAAATAAAAATGTACATCTGTGAGAATACATTTTGTTGCTTTAAAAAAATATAGAGAGAATAGAATACGTTATTCTTAGAGATACTTTCCTGGGTTGATTTTATTTATGTCTAGACTAATCTCTCAAGGCCCTTCTTGCCAACTTTTGCCCAGCCCCTGCCCCCACCTGCTGGTCGTTCTACAATTTGATCCCTGCTCCACCTGGCCCCCTTGGTGAGCCTTGGGATGTTTTAGGGAAGTGTTTATTTCTGGTTGACCTGGCATGGAATTTTAATCTCAGTAAACCTGCTCCTACCTGCTGTCACCACAATTCCTTTGAACCTAGTACTTTTGCGTTGGGTCATGAATTCTTCAAGATATTTGTATGTACTGTTAGGCTCAAGGCAGCAGCAAGGCAAAGAAAAGCGTGTTCGCTGCAGTAGAGCTTCACCTTTGCCCAGGTTATTGTCAGTGTTTGTCTTGTTTACCCTTCTCAGAAGTGGGAGGGTCACAAGAAGGGCAGAGTGACCTTGGAGATGAACAATGCTGCTTTATTTTTTGTTTTGGTTTGGTTTTTTTTTTTGCAGCTGTTGCACTTAGAAGGGCATTAGTTTGAATGTTTGTCTTCTGAAAGAAAAATGGCAAATCTTGTCCTTTGTGCTTAAAACCTTGACGCTTCAGTGTTTCATTTTAGAGAAGCATTATTTTCAGTCTGAGATCATCCCACTTGCTGTAGTTACACAGCAATTGTAGCTGCCATCAGTGATGCAATCATATATTGAGAAGGCTAATTAAGGTGCTAATATAAATTCCAATTTAACAAAGCTATAGAAGCTAAATTGAAGCATTTACCTTACAGAAGATGGTAGTGTGAAGCATGATGGAAATACAATAAATGTTTTGTTTTTAAATATCTGTAAACAATGCTATGAGGGGGTAACAGTAGACCTTTTTATACAGAGTGATATGGTTATGTTACAGAGGACAGAAACGTAGCCTTCACTTGTCAGATGTTCTGTTGGTATATTATGATAATAGAATGTTTATAAGTGCAAGTTTTTATGCAATTTATTATTTGATACATCCTTTTTGTGATGCAGCTTCACAATGCTGTGGCCGAAATGGAAAAGGAGAAGTTCAGTATTAGGAAGAAGCACGCAGAAGACATGAGGGACCTGCTTGAGGTCACCAATGCTCGTCTTAGCAAAATGGAGGAGGATTATATGGATCAAATAGAGTCAACTGTAAGCTTTCTGTAAATGTGTCACAGCAGCAAGTGTATCTTAGAGCTTTCTGCATATTTTTTTTTTTTTTAACTGTCTATAAAACTATAAGCACTCTAACAGCAGTCTGGAAACACTGTTTAATCATGTGTCTCGATCTTTTTGATCTTAGTGTAGCTTTAAAAAGTATATTGTATTGGTGTGATAGATAAATGTCTGCTGGTGAATGATGGTAAGATGGTGGGGGGAGATTTAATCATCAGCCTCAACTTTACTCTCCAGGGAAGTGTAATCCTATGCCAAGCCTTTCAAATGGGTCTTGTTCCAGCATACGAGGTTTGTAATTATGTAAATTATACAACAATTTGTAGGAAGGCATCATCACCCCCAGGCCGTATTGTTGAGTTACCTTCTGAATACTTTTTCCCTCAGTTTTTGTCTGATGTGGAAAGAGACTGCTGAACACAGGCATTGATTAGAAAGGTTTCAAGTCTATCTTGTTTTGAAAATGCAAGATCAATATTGAATTCCATGTATCCTTCTGAGATACCTTTTCTAGTGTTTCTTTATTTTGGATATCAGTTTTATCTTTTGCTTACCTGAAGATCTGTTATTACTTTTACTCCCATTCCTTTCACTGTGAGTCTAAGTGATGTTTTTATAGGCAAAAACCCATTTGTGAAGACCATCAGTTTGACAAATAGAAACAAGTTCTTCCCTGACTGCAGAATTACATGGACACACTTGATTTAAGTGGAAGTCTGTGTTGTGGAAAGAGAAAATCCAAGGAATTGAATATGACAGATGAAATAATTCAATGTGTAAGCAAAGTAGAAAGCAAAATATTACCAAGAATCCTAGAAAGCATGCTGCTCTTTTTATCAGTGCTGAATGAGTGAAAGGACAATGTCAAAAAACTTTATTCCCTTATTAATGAATGTTGAATTTAAAAATTAGTATTCAGATCATGTCATAGGCAACAGTAAATACAGAGAAAAATGGACACAGTCTGTCAGCAGGATTGAATTTAAGAACCATCAAAACTAGACAGATCTTGCTGAGCAGCTTCTGATTTAATAATTAAACGAGGTAGAGTTCAAGGCAGGGCTTAAGATGAAAGACTACCCTGTCACTGGAAATTAGGTTTCTTTTTCTCTCTCTTGGTTGTGTTCTTTTCTTTTTCTTTTCTTTTTTTTATTTCTTTGGTATTTCAGGGATTTCTTCAGAGTTTTACATTGTCAAGGACGCCAGTGCTGTTAGCAAGTGAAATTGGCTGAGCAACATAGCTCATAAAGTGGGATTCTGTGCATTAAGCAAGTATAAATATCAGCTTCCTGAGGGTGAGGCCACAGGGAGGAGTTGGGATGTTTGGCAGCGTATCTGTGTGACTGACTGAAAAGAAACAACCAACCAACCAAAATGGCACCAGGCTGAGCTGGCTTTATCCTGATGGAAGAACTGTCTGTCCTATTTAGAAAAAATATCTTAAGTCTCTTGCCAAGGTTCAGCTGACCACTCTGACTGTATGAGGTTCTTGCATTGCTGCAGGCTCACGTAGATGTTATACGGCAGCTGGAGCACTCACTTCTGAGGGCAGATGTTGGAGGTTTTTTCATTTTACTTCGGCAAAGAGTGAAAATACATTTCAATTTCCCCATATTCAGACCTTTGTTAATACAGAAATAACAGTATGTACATCCTGGAGGGCAGCTGTGTCTTGTTTTATGACTCCAGCCTCCTGTGGAATTCTTCAGTCATTTCCGTGCAGATCAACATAAGTTTAGGGAAGAGTGGGAAGTAGTTGAGTAGAAGGGGCAAGTAACCAGAAACTAACTGCTCATCTTTAGAACTGTTTACATTAAGGGGGGAAGATATTTGTGGTTTATTGGAGAACATTCACTGTAATTAAACAAATACAGAATCATTAAGGTTGGAAAGACCAGTAAGATCATCTCATCCAACCATCAACCCCTGCCTGCGGCCACTCTAAACTACATAATTCAGTGCAGCACCTACTCCAGCACCTCCCTGATGCTTGACTACATAAAACTCAGCTAAAGTTTGCACGTTCATGCATCATATGTATTATAGTCATCCTTATTTCCTCAGTATCTGTACTTGTTGCTGTATATTAACTCCTCTTTTAAAAGATTTGTACCTTAGAAATTGGTTGCAGATACTGTTATATATAATGGAGAGGTCTTTACTCTTTTTAGTTATTACTTTGGTGGGTTTTTTGGTATGCATATACAGCATAGAATTTACTATCATAATTGATGATAGCTTTGCTGTTTTAACCCTTGTGTCTCTGCTCGCCAAGGAACGTTGTTGCTTAAGGCTATTGGATAACGACAGGGTTATACACTGATTTATTCTGGTGTTTCTTACAATGGTCTGTTCTTTCAGAACCAGACAGTCAAAAATCTGGAGGCTCGAGTGCAACAGTTGATGGTTGAGGCTGAAAACAGTAATTTACAGCGTCAGAAGTTATCCCAGGAAAAGACCGAAGCAGAACAATGTTACCAGGCAGTATGCTCTGAACTTCAGGAAATGAAGGCAAGGTAATTAAGTAGCAGTTGCTGTTTTTAAGTTTGTAGAATAGGGGACCTCCAAAAGCAAACTGTAGTTGTTTTCATTTAATTAACTCAGTGGATGGTCATTTGCGTTAGTAAAATGTCATTAAAAAAACCTATTAATTGATGCATAAAAAACTCATTTTGAAGCTGGCCCAAATGACCGCTTTAAGTATTGCATTTTCATTATTTATAAGCTTTTCATTCTCTTACAAGGAGCACGTGGTACAGTCCAGCTCGAAAACGCTGTAAAAACTGATGCTGAGCATGTAAAATGCCAAAGCATGAAAGCAGTTTTCATATTTTGTTTGCTTACTACTTACAGGCACAAGTTGTTTCTGGAAGGCAAGGACCGTATTGTACAGGAATATGAGGAGAGCATTCAGCAACTACAAAGTAAATATGATGTTGATATAAATGTTATGAAGCAGGAGCATGCTCTCTCTACAGCTAAGGTACATTTTCATGCATATTCCATTTAAATGTTGTTTATTTTTGGTCTCCTCAGTATAAATAAAACGCATGTGAATAAATCCAAGAAATGTTCAGTTGCATAAGTTATTCATGTATGTAAGTATAAAAGTGGTTTATTTTTCATTCCCAAATTTGACTGAAATGACTGAAGATGACAATTCTGGGATGTATGTACAAGTGACATTTCTATAGCTGATACAGGTAAGGTGCAATTAGTATGCTGGTTTTCCTTGTACTTATGAAAAAATTCTGAATGCCTGATCTCCACACACTTAAAGACCCAGGGCTCTTATAGGGCCTCTTCAGTAAGTTGTCCTCAAAGGGATGTTGAGGGAAAATATTTATTTCCAGTAATAAAATGTCTTGTGGGTTTCTTTAATATGGAACATTATGTTTAAATATTTATGTATTTAGGAAGATATTCTAGAATTTTGGGAATATATATCCTGCCCAAAATGTAATCAATCTGTTTACATAAGAGCATCTATTGGGCTGATGTCTACCAGTGTGCATATGTAGTACATGGCATTTATTCTATTGATGATATGAAATAAATAGAAAATGTTTCAACTGAATCCAATAGTCTTTGGAACAACAAGATAAATGAAGTCTTTTTTTCTTTTATGGAATTCTGGGAGCCTTGATGATGCACTGATCATTTAATTTGCAAGATTTGTCTTTCTTTTAACTGTTGGTACCGAGTTGATGCAAAATCAACTTAGTTGCTTTAGTTGATCAACTTAGTTGCTTTAGTCTTAGTTGTTACTTGTGGTTATCTATGCACTGATGAGTTCATCAGAGGGATGAATATAAAGTATCTGAAGTTGCAAACTTATACTACTTTTTCTAGGCAGCTTTGAAAAGTGACTTAAAAATGGCAAAAAGATGCGTCTGTAGAGCTAATGGGAACACAAAACAAAAATCCTTTCTTCTGTTAAATCCTTGCAGGCATCTGATGTGATTGAGGAGTTACAGCATAGTGTGTGTCTATTAAAACAACAGTTACAAGCTTCAGAACATCAAAGAGAGCAGCAACTGAGGGTGAGCGCTGAACTTCTCACTCAGGAATGACAAGCTCCTTCTGTGTTTTTGCACTAATCTGAATATTTAGATAGCTGTACCAAAAGACTCGTTATACAATATGCATCCTCACATATTTTATCATATAGATAAAGGGGGTGTAAACTTTTCCATAGAGTGATCTCTTGTCACGTTTTTATGGAAAAGAGCAGAATTGTCATAGGACCTTTGTGACTTTACCTTCACTTCAGCATGATTTAACACCATAAGCATGTATCAATGCACTATGAACATGTCAAAGAATACAGTTATGCTGATTAAGAAAAACTTTTTCTTGTTGCTTTCTAACAGTTCAGCTCAATTTTTATCTTCCAGCAGACACTGATTAATCCTTCTATTTCAGGTTGAGTTCCATGCCTGTACTGTGTATCAATCTTGTTCAGGTTTTGGCATCTATTCTTCCTCTGTTTTTTATTTTACTGCAGATGTAGTAAAACAAAAACAAACAAACAAAAAAATTTAGTAGCTCAGGAGAGCAAGTTACTTTTTCTCTTCATCACCTGGAATGGTGCCTTTTGAGATGGTTTTGCTGTGGATGTTTTTGCTGTTGGTTGTTGGGTTTTTTGTACGTCAGAGATTCCGTGAGTTACAGTGTAAGATACTCCTTGCATCTTGAATTTATGGACAAGGATCTAGACCTGCAATCTTAAGTCTTTTTGGATGCCCTTTTAAGCTAATGAAGTACTGAATATAGCAGTGTCTTTTCCGTAACTTAAAGTAAAAGCTACAAGTCAATCTTACAGTATTGCTTAGTGATGATATAAAGAGGATTTTAACTCTTATGACTATTCTGGATGTGTTTAAGGATTGCTTTGAAATGAAATAAGATCATAGCTTTATTTCATTTGATGAGAAGTACACTTCTTCATTTGCAGGATCAAGACCATAAACTTCAACAAGACAAGCTTCGCTTGGAGACTGTATATGAAAAGCAGGTAATAAACATGTACAGCAGCAGTGTTTTGAAAAAGGAATGCATGCCAGCTTAGAGGGTACAGTACTGTCAGTGCTCTTTACTATAATTTTTTTCATTACTTTTGAGTCTGTCTTAACTATTGACATCTTAAAATGTGGGTATGGTATAAAACCATAAAATGCTGTAGATTGGCCCATAAAGCACTAAAACCAAGCTTGCCTTTAAGTAGAGGAATCATGAAGTCTCTGATGAAATCTGTTCACTTAAGTACATACCCATTATCTAATAATCTTTATTGGTCTACAGTGGCTATTGCCTGCTAGGATATTTAAACATCAAACAAATAATAGGTAGTAACCCTAAATGTCACTGTTTGATTAAATGTACTTATCTGCTGAATCAGGAACCAGTTAGGCTAAATGGTTTTACAAGCAAAGGAAACACCTGCTTTTTATAAATAATCTACCACTTGTTTTCCAAACATTCATCTAAGTGTAAGAACAGTGATGGATTATTACTGAGAGCCATTCTTGAGACAGCTTTTAAATGTGTGTGTAACTTAGCCAACATTGGGAATACCTTCTTGACTCTCTGGACATCCCATCAGTATTGAGGCTCTTTGACATGATCTAGGTAGTCAGGATTCTGGACAGTGAACACCTGTGTAGAACTGTTTACAGTAGTGAAATTCCATATTATCATTATTATGAAAAAAAATTCATGGCACCTTCCATTGGGTGTGAGCCTGTAATTCAGTATTATGTTTCCTACACTTACAAGCATACTTAATATAAGAACAAATAATGTCTTAGTAACTTAATAAAATGTAACGTTGCAAATGATTGTAGATAAGAAGGAAATTCCTATGCTCCTCTTCCTTTAAAGAAAAATGTGGTTGGTAAGTCACATCATGACAATGTTTCTTCAGCAATCCTAAAAGTAAAGCAAGTTCTTGCACTTAATATGCCTGTGGAAAAAGGTACTGTGAAAGCCTATGGTTTGCACCATACTAAGGGAGGTTGCTAAATGCTGAAGCAGCTTTCCTCATCTGAAAAATGCTTTGGAAACATCTGTTCCTGGTTACTGAGCTAGGGAGGTAGTCGGATTTAATTCACTGCTTGTTGCGACTGTATTGCTTTATAACAAGATAAATGGATAGTTGTCTGTGTCAATACTAAAGAAATATGTAAAACAAATGGTTTTTGGAATTTGAAAAGCATTTTTATCATATCAGGCTTTATTTTACCCAAAATGTGATATTTTTTTTTTTCTTTCAAATGGTAGATTCTTGGCATCCAGAATGATCTTGATAAAGAAAGAGGGGATGCCCAGAAGAAAATTCACAAGCTGGAGGAGACTTTGAAGTAAGTGAATCTGAAATAACTGTTGAAACGTCTGTAGATTTTTCAGTCAAACCTAGTAAGTGTATGCTTAGTGTTGTCTAAGCACCTTCTGATAATTGGTCTGAGTTGTATTCCCATTTTGGAGGAGAAGATGAATTTGAAAAATGTACATTAGAGCCCAATGCAGTAAATACTGGTCTGCTGTGCTATGTACTGTGCCACCTCCTGTTTGATTCTTAAGGTATTTATGATTTAGGAGAAGCCATGAGATGTTCCTCAAGTCTAAGGAAAAACTTCAGTCTTGGTTTTAATCTCAGAAATTATATTCAACCTCTGCTTAGTATGTGGTATTTGTCATTCAGAAAGCCATAAATTACATCTCCAGTGTGGATTTTACTTCTTTGATGCCACACGTTTTTGTGTCAAGTAGTTATTTTTCAAATCTGACCAGGATTCAGAGGAATGGTACAGTAGAGATGCTTTTCATTACCTAACGTGGAACAACACTCTTGCTAACCTTGTACATCACAAAACTAATTTGGATGCAACAAGTTTGATATTCTCTGAGCAGGAGTGGTTTGCATACACCAGATGCACGTATGACAAGATTATCTCTTGTTATGCTTCTTCCCTTTCTGATTATGTAAAATATTATTTCCACATGTTCATACAGTTTAAAATAAAAATTCTGGAAATAATTTCTAAGGATAACAGATTATTCCAAAACAAATGACAAATTTTGTGAAAACTACTCAGTTAAATGTGATGATGCATCTTATCTAACCTCACAGAGGCATTGGGAAGTCGCAGGTATGAAGTTTGTATTCCTTTCTTTTTATCATCTTGTAAATATTTAGCATCAACAAAGAATATTTTAAATCACTACAGAAACTAAAGCCAACTAGCATTTAGTGTTTAAATTCTTTGCACTTTCTTTTTAACTTTAGAGAAATTACATTGTTCATCAATTAAATTTGATCTTTTAATATTTTAACATGATTCATTTATAATGTTATTTGTAAGCCGTGGAAGCTTACAAATGGAAGATAATTAATGCTACTACATGTCAGCTTGCAGTTACTAATGTTAACTATGTTTAATACAGTAAGTATGAATTTTCAGTCCTGCTGAGAACTGATTCCCCCCTGGGTGATGTTACTGCAGAGTAAACACAGTAGTGCTCTCCTCCAGGCAAGTATTTCTAAAGTGGGTTAGTGGCCTGTAGATTTTGAACTTTTTCAGTTAACAGCACTGTAATGAGGAGCTCAGCAGAGAGCTAAAGAGGTCCTAATTTATTTTATATATTCCTTGATTGTAATTAAGCTTAGGTGTAATGTTTGGGTTAGAGTAAGGATACGAAAGAGCCCAGGTTACTGGTGATGTTTCAAGGCCCACATTGCTCAGAATGTAATGGCAGAGAGCAGTCCCAACCTTCTGCTTTGTGTGAATGATCCTTTTGCCTAAATCTGAGGATGGATCAGCCTTGTGGGAAAACATCTCAATTTCAGAGGTCTCATGCTCTTTACCAACATCTATACTACTGTTGTTTTATAGCAGTGGTTTGGGGTTAATTTTAAAGTTAGTAATGGAATTAGTATTGTAAAGTATCAGTAAAAATGAGCTTTCATTCTTGTCTTTGGATGGAATCAAAAGTTGGAAGAACCATCAGAGCTGATTTGTGCTTCAAGAGATTAAAAATATTTTCCTGATAAGTACGTAGCCCTTGTGTAATCCTGGTCTTTTGACCAGTTCTTTCAGACTGCAACTGTGGAGCAAAAGCATTCTTAGTTCCTCCAAAAGGACATCCAGGCACTTCTCTCCCATTGAGACTGGATTGCTAGAAGTAAATGACTAGAATGTATTTTTGGCATAAGAAGTAATACCCTGATGGTCTGATCAGCTTTTATTGCAAGTGAAGGCAGCTACAGAACATAGGCCTTGGAAGTGTAAATGGCTTGCTGTGTGGTACAGATGATTCACTGCTTTGGCATCTGTACATTTCTGATCACACAAGTGTCAGTACATGAGAATGTCAGGAGCAGACTTGCTGCAGGCCTGATATGGAGGAACAAAGCTGACCTTCTGGAAGCCAAACCTTTAGTAGCAGCATGTGCCCTGTCCCTGGAAGTGCTGAAGGTCAGACTGGGCAAGGCTTTGGCCATCCTGATCAAGTGGAAGGTGACCCTGCCCATGGCAGGGTCCTGGAACAAGATGGTCTTCAAAGTCCTTTCTCAGCCAAACCATTCTATGATTCTCTCTAAACAATATGTCTGTATGCATTTATATACAACATGTCTGTGTGCAAGAAATATAGTAAGCAGTAAGATTTTTTGTCAGAAAAATGGCTGTTCCTGAAGATTTCTTTCAACTGCTGCAGAAATAAGCATATTTAGAAGTCTCTTGCTATTAGATGAAATCACAAGATCAAATGTTTTATGTGAAAAGGCTTTGTTTTCCTGTATTTCTTTGACTACTTACTGATTAAGTAATTACGAGCTAAAGCAGACAGTAAAACTTTAGAAAACAACCTCGTCTTTCTTGAGATGGGTGAAAATACAGTTCACTGTCTTCAGTAGAAATGATGCCTTGTGGAATTGCAGCTCTGAACCTGGTAGGTGCATCAGTGATTTCTCATGAGCTACTTTGATCTGTATGCACTTTGATTCTGAAATGGCCACAGGATTCTATCTTGAGCAGCTATGCAGCTGCAAACACAAAGAAAGGGAAGTGGTAGGCATTTTATTATTCTTATTAGTTTTATTCTTTCCCATGGTATGACAGCAGAGTTCTATTGCAGTTTCAACACTACCCATACCAAAATGAATAATGAAAGCAAAGGGAAAAAAAAGTATAATTCACTTTAAATAAATGATGCCAGAGCTTTTATACTGAATAGATGTCTACAAAGTTTATGACAAATGTTTTGCAAAAGAATTGTTTTAATACTTATGATTACTGGTGGGGACTTGTAAGTATAAATTTCATATTTTGTTTACTAATGTACATCAGAGGCATTGCCTGATAGCAAAAATGGCTGTAAGAAGTGCTCCAATTTTTTGGTAAGGAAAGTATTTAATCTGCATTTATTTAATAACAAGATACTATGTAGAAAGCATCTGTGCAATTATTTAGGGGGAAAAGGTTTTCTCTCGATTCCCTTTTGTTTGGTCACATACCTTTATGGCTTCATGGATGTATAAAGCTTCTCCAGATCAAGATGGAGCTTTAGAATAAATTATAAATGTATCTGAGAGATGAGGTCGTTATCCTTCTTCCTAACTCTCTGTGCCTGTCACCAGCATGGAGATGCAGACCTTCCTGCTGCTGGTTTCTTGGAATAATGCTTGTGATGATTCTCACATACTAAAAATAATCACAGGATCTGATTTAATGCTTCTGAGTTTGCATCTCTTGTATGGGAATTAATATTTTCACTACGCTGCAGAAATGCAGCTTTCTCAAGATCTGTTCTGAAGTACAATGGAAGGAAACGAGCTTTATAAAGTGATCTTATGACACATTAGATGGAATGTCACATCGGCAGTTGCAGGTGTTGCAACCAAACATTGAAGTGACAAGCAATACGTTGGCACTACATACAGCTAAATGCTTCATACCATTCTTCCTCTTAATCTTTACCATTTTTTTTTTTTTAAACCTGCCTATGGAGTCAAATCTCAGAGCCTTGTGAGTGGTGAAGATACAGAGCAAATGTTTAGCAGCTGGTTTATTGAAAGTCACTCAATAAAATTGTTTGTTTACATAAGCACTGGAGAAGAGAGGTGTTGCCAGTTTCTTCTCTGCTCCTTTTCATCTGAGCGTGCTTAAGACTGTTCTGAGGAAAAGAGATAAAATCTCCTGAATCCAGCAGAGCTGCTCTTATCTATTAGCAGATTTGTATTTTTAGAATGGTTGTTAAATTATGTGAGTGCAGTTTTAAGATATTTTCTGATTTGTTTATGATGGCAGGGCAAAATGTTTCCAAGCCTTTTCAACCAAAGGCATGGTATGAAGATGGATTGTGGCAGTAGAAATGTAATGAAGTACAGAAAGTAAAGCAATTCACAAGTACATATGGGGATAAGAGTATACGTACACATATACACAGATCTTATGTTCATGCTGAATTCTCCTACTTTTTCCTACAGCTACGGCTTTGCAATGACTTGTTTTTCATAGCGTAGCTTTCTTTTATATGTGAAGAGAAAGTCCAGATGTTGTTTGGTCTAAATGACTCCCTTTGTTCATAATTGTAACACAATGGAAGTGCGGCAATGACAGCAGAGCAGCAAGGTCCCAGGCTGCAGCAAGTGAGGATTTGCTCGAATGCAACATCCATGGGCATGGAAATAAGGGGAAGAAGCTGCTTACCTTTGGAAGGCCTCAGGTATGCAGAAATCTCCAAAGAGATCCTCTTGCCTCCACTGCCAACCCTTAAATAAGGTCTGGGAAGGGCTGGCTCCATCCCTTCTGCCCAGCCTCAGTGCATGCACCTGAGCTCCCTGGGTTGGCCCTGCCTTCCTATCAGATGGTCCATCACTGCTTCAGGCCTGACTCAGCATTCCCACTGCAATTATATGCAAAAACACCAAATTTTAGCACCGGAAGTTTTATGCAAGAATCTTTTAGCAATCTCTTGCAAAACTCCCTTAGTCTTTATATCACTTTTATCTAAGTTGTTGTAACAAGGATAACATAAGAAACATGAAGGTACATAAATCTGAGATAAAGTGATGTTGTACATAATGCATCTTAGCTAATAAAAACCACAACAGATAATGGCAAGAATAAATAAAAACCTGAAGATATATGGCAGGAGGAGAAGGAATAAGTAGCAGTGAATCTAATTGCTTTTAGTTTTGCAGGCTGCAGTTGCATAATTGTGTATTTACTATTATGGTGCAGGGCAGCATTTAAAAAAAAAATTTGGAATTTGAAATATTATTTTAATTCAGTTGTGATTTATGATGGATCTTGAGATTTAATCTCACACCTTTGAGCATTTTATCTTAAACAAGTCC